GCAGACCTGCAGCCATCACACTGCTGACAATACATCTAACACTGCAGACCTGCAGCCATCACACTGCTGACAATACATCTAACACTGCAGACCTGCAGCCATCACACTGCTGACAATACATCTAACACTGCAGACCTGCAGCCATCACACTGCTGACAATACATCTAACACTGCAGACCTGCAGCCATCACACTGCTGACAATACATCTAACACTGCAGACCTGCAGCCATCACACTGCTGACAATACATCTAACACTGCAGACCTGCAGCCATCACACTGCTGACAATACATCTAACACTGCAGACCTGCAGCCATCACACTGCTGACAATACATCTAACACTGCAGACCTGCAGCCATCACACTGCTGACAATACATCTAACACTGCAGACCTGCAGCCATCACACTGCTGACAATACATCTAACACTGCAGACCTGCAGCCATCACACTGCTGACAATACATCTAACACTGCAGACCTGCAGCCATCACACTGCTGACAATACATCTAACACTGCAGACCTGCAGCCATCACACTGCTGACAATACATCTAACACTGCAGACCTGCAGCCATCACACTGCTGACAATACATCTAACACTGCAGACCTGCAGCCATCACACTGCTGACAATACATCTAACACTGCAGACCTGCAGCCATCACACTGCTGACAATACATCTAACACTGCAGACCTGCAGCCATCACACTGCTGACAATACATCTAACACTGCAGACCTGCAGCCATCACACTGCTGACAATACATCTAACACTGCAGACCTGCAGCCATCACACTGCTGACAATACATCTAACACTGCAGACCTGCAGCCATCACACTGCTGACAATACATCTAACACTGCAGACCTGCAGCCATCACACTGCTGACAATACATCTAACACTGCAGACCTGCAGCCATCACACTGCTGACAATACATCTAACACTGCAGACCTGCAGCCATCACACTGCTGACAATACATCTAACACTGCAGACCTGCAGCCATCACGCTGCTGACAATACATCTAACACTGCAGACCTGCAGCCATCACGCTGCTGACAATACATCTAACACTGCAGACCTGCAGCCATCACACTGCTGGCAATAGAACATACAACTCTTTTATCACTAAAATCATCAAAATTCGGCTCATTGAATTTTGACCAACAAGTTGGCATTTTGGCTCTTAGTGACTTCATTGTCAGGATGCTCACTAAATTTCTGGCTCTAGTTGGCATTTTGTTTATGAGTGACTTTTCTATTGCAAATACTCATTGAATTCCGGCTCTAGTTGGCATTTTGGTTCTTAGTGACTTTACTGTCTGTTTACTCCTCAAAATTCGGCTCTTGTTGTTTTAGTTCTGAGTGATTTTATTATAACTATACTCATAGAATTTTGGACCCACACTTCCTGCATAGGGTTTTCTTGGTTTGGACCCACGCATGCTGCCTTGTAACACACTCATTGAAACAGAAAAACACTGACATTCTGTTTGGACCCACGCATGCTTCCTTGTAACACACTCATTGAAACAGAAAAACACTGACATTATGTTTGGACCCACGCATGCTGCCTTGTAACACACTCATTGAAACAGAAAAACACTGACATTCTGTTGGGACCCACGCATACTGCCTACACATACTCTGTGATATAGTTCTATCCTGACAAAGGCTATCAGTGTTAAACAATAATACAATTAGCCATATCTCCTAAAGAAATTCAAATGCCAAGCGATATTGTGATTATTGTCATGAATTATCCATTGGGGTAGGATAAGGTTTTTGTTGATGTTTTATGAGATTTATTGGGATTAGACAAATCAATTTGTGTGATGAACTTGTGGACTGGTCAGAAAGATTGATATGCAGTTGATCATTGGTTCATGCATTAGTAATTATACAGACAGTTCACGGTGTGTCCAAGTACGCTTACTGATGCTCGGCTGTATACACATCAGATCACGTACCAGTGTTTTGTACTAATATGTTTATACTAGTACTGTACCTCCACCAGGGCCGAGTTGTTCAAAAGGTGGTTAGCTTAATCCCAGTTATGAAACTTTGTAACAAACTCAATGGTTGTGTCTTAAAGATACACAAAAATTAAGATTTGCCCTAATCACTGATTAAACTAATCACCTTTTGAACAACTGGGCCCAGAGGTTAGAAGTTTTACAAACTTCCTTGGCTTCTTCTGTAAATTCTAACCATGAAGTTTTAAAGCAATGACATTTAACCCTTTTACCCCTATATAACTTCAGTAAACTCTACCATGCATTGATCTGGATGAGTTCATTATGGTTCGCAGTGTTGAAAGGGTTAACATGAACCTTGCTGGAATGAAGGACTTTCCGTAAGATTTGAAAAAAAGTACCTTGACTGACTCTTACAGCAATGAAAATTGGTTAAAAACTTAAACCAACTTCTGTGAAACTTAATGATACATGGAGTCGTGGCAATTAACTGTTACTTTAGGGTTGAAGGGTCAAATATATTGATTGACTTTGAAGGTAACAGTCGTCAAATGAGTTCAAAAAAAAATCAAATCACTTCTTCAATAGAATGCATTGCAACATGCATCAAGTGATTGTATTTGTCCAGTAGTTGCTGGGATTTTGACTATGTTCCTGAAATTAGTCCATGTTCCTATAATCAAGGCATGTCATTTAAAATTAGATGCTATTTTGCTAATTTAGGTAATGTAACCATAATTAAGGCTATCAATTCATAATTTAGACTTTGTTCTGTAGAATTTTGTACAAGAGGCGGTAAAATTAGGTTGTTCCCAAAATTTAAATACAAAGGTCAATTGCTTAGGTTGTCTGTGCCTCCAAATGATTGGTCAAATGGGTGACAAATTCCTCCAGTAGTACAACATGAGGGGACTAGAGGTTTGCACTCCTGTCTATCAGTCTGTTTGTACATCACTATGTCCAGAGCATATATCTCATGATCATAAACTCTTTCACTTGCCATTGCCTGGGAAATTATCTTTTACACTAGTTCACCTACAATTGCCTAATTTCATATTGGCTTTGATGGTGGAAGTTGCCTAGAAAACAACTTCCAAAAACTGTAAGAGTCTGAAGTGAAAAAAATCTGGATTTTTTACAATAAGCATTTGAGTAATATTTCAAAATTCCTGGGGGCACCCTTAAAATTAGAACAGGTGCCCTTTTACATCAAATACGGTTATTGCTACTGTGTATATTAAATCAAATACAAGCTGACTGTTTTCTGTTGCTGTTCTTGTGTCATTAAGAGCTGGCCATAAACACAGATTCCAGCTTCTTTCCAGGTTATGTCTTTCTGGTTTACATATTACAGGTGATAGAGCCTTGTGATGTTTTTGTTTGGTTTTACAAGGCCTTGATCTGGTCTACTTCATCATTCATCTGTACAGCTTGTTACATCAGTAATGGCGGACTTATCGTCAGAAGTCACTCTTTGTGATGCAGGCGTGAATCTTTTGACAAACTTATAGGAGATTCAGTTTGAAATTGGATGTACATTGGGTAATTAAACATGGAGTAAAAAGTAATAAATTTGTCATTTCTTCCAATCCTGTTATAATAATTTGCATTCTTGACACTGTTTTATAATACAATTGTGTGACTTTGCCCCATTGACCTGTTACCTAGTTAGGGAGCAGATTTAATGCTATCTACGACAATCTGTCTTAAATCTTCTCAATTACAGAGAAAGATTATATATATTTGAACTACTGCAGTAAGAGTTAAACCTCATTACTGACACAAAATCAGTAAAACACGCCTACCCAGCACATTATCTTTAATATAAGAAGGTTTCTGGGACAACAATAGGTTGACATACACTTTTAATTGTAGATGACACAGTTATAGGTTTAAATTTAGGGTTACCTGATTATTTCGTCTGTGATCAAGAATATTGAAGTTCTCCAATTCCTGTATAAAATAGGAATTTCTACACGTCACAGCTTAATACCGTTGTAAGTAGAGTAGCAAAAAGGAAAAAATATACATTTCTTTATGAAGGGAAAGACAACTTACACATAGTTTTGTTCTGAAAATATCACTTCATGATAGATAGTTCGTCAAATATCATAGCTTTATACAGCATGACCATATAACAACAGGGTGTGATCGTCAAACATTGTCACTTGATGCAGCTGGTGGAACTGTGTCACGTTAGGATCACATCATCAAATGTAGCGGCACTATATAGCAGCTTTCTTGAGCAGATAAATTGTCAGTAAAATTTAAGTACACTTGTATAAGAGAAAAAAATGCTTAATAAAAGATATAATGCTGACAGGAAAATGTCAACACAAAGTAAAACGCATATAGGAAAATGTCAACACGTAGGATGGGAGTTTATCTGTCTAGCAGAGGCTTGGTTAACAGATTGAAAATATTGCCCTTGGGTTTAGACTTTTTAACCTACATCAAAGGAGACTCATAGATTTAGTTGATCTTATGTCTAACAATAACCACACGATGGTGGAAGAAATCCCTATACCTTACATAGGCAGTCATGTGTTTACACAGAAAAAAATAACTGAGTGACGTTAGATACTATAACATGACTTCCTGCTTCAGAATGTTAGTCAGTTTGAAGAGCAACTCGGTATATTCAGAAGAATGGTGTAGGAGAAAAAGACAATGTGAGAAAAGAGTAATGTGCACTAGGATACGGAAATCTGCCCTACAGGGTTTCTGATCAGGGGTAAACCTCCTAGCCGAGTTTTACCATACTGAAGAAAACCCTCTGGTGGTATGTCCCGACCTTACCCATGTACAAAAAATTAAATGTAACTTGTTTTATGTAACAAACATGGAACAGAGTTGAAATTGTGTCTGCTTGCAAGAACACATGAACAGCGAACACAGAAACTGTTTCTCATTTGTTTCCTTTCAAAGAATGACAATCTGAATAAAATTCAGAAGTCAGATTGTTGTATTTGTCCTTGATATTGAGTTTAATTTGTTGTATTTACCTTATTTTATTTGTTACAGAGCGAAGGAGAGTCACCAGTTAGCAGAGGCCACACTTCAGAAGAATGCTCGTCTCAAAGAGGCGTTCGGCATCAGTGACCAGTACGTTGATGGGTCCTCGTTTGATCCTGATCGCAAAACCAAGGAAGAAGCAGCTAAAGCTCTGGCCATGGCCCAAAAAAAGTACAGGTAGGAAAACTTCTCTTCGTATCCATGGTTATAGCCTTATAAGGTGAAACATTGGGGATTTATTGTTGATTTTGTTCTGAGTTATATTCCGTTTCTGATTTTCTTGCATACATTTTGTACTGTTTCCTAATTTGTTGACCTTGTATTGATGAAACTCGGGCATATAATCTATACCTTAGGTAGTTGGGTGTTTGCATTATATTTTTATATCAGCTATATTTATAAAGGTTTTGCCCCTTTGAGATATTGTCCTGTGTTGGATTGGGTAGGTATTATTAAACCTTGAAGTCCCAGTTCTAGTTTCTATGTCCCTCCTGTCCTCTTGTGTCCGGATTCATTATCATGACCCTACCATCTTCGTTTCTTAACAGATTTTCATCAAAGTATATAGAAAGGCAGGGTTGCCAGCCTCTTAGGAGTTCAGTGTGGGAAATCTCCCTCCACTGGGTTTAACAATGTGTGAGACTATTGACGGCGCCGCGGCGTAACGTCGTTTTGGGTGTTAACATAACATTTACAAATGTATCAAACAAATCCTGCCTTTCTCTGACTACTATAACATCTGCATTGTTGATATTTTCACTTCAAGATCTTTGTAGGAATATAAAACTAAACATTTTTTTGCAGATATATAAAAGATTTTTATTTATCACACAAAAAAAAACTGACATCAGAAATGCAACACATTATATAATCAAAGGCCTTTCTTGTAACGATTCCACCCTTGGCTAGAACAGGTACCAGTCTTTTTTTCTGTATTTCCATGACCTGTTAAAAAAATAACAGTTCATATCAAAAGTAAGAACTTTACCATAGTAACATGAAAAAGTTCATAACATGAAAGTTAAAAAAAAATATTATAATTTGACAGTGGAAAAATATTTTACAATAACTTCTGGCTACTATCCTAAGCAACAAATAACAGTTACACCCTTAGCATTTATACCACGTTTGCAATCCGATTTGTTGCATGATTATGTATTTGACTACCTACGTACTATGTCTATCCAACATGCCAAAGCACTTCCCGAAACTTTTATTTTTTCATCGCATCAGATTAAAATTGTTTATTACTACAAGTCTCACGTGTACGCCACTTTACTGCAAAAATTAACTTCAAACTTTTCATCAGCCTTTAGCGACTGTCTGTTCGTGATTCAATAATCGTTTTCTCTTAATATTTGTGAAGGCCCGACCTAAAAACAATCTTTCCTAATACATGACGATATTATTAGTAAAACTTCCTTTTTCTGTGCGATAGGTACGTTCAATATTAAGTTTACGAGTGAAAACAACTTTATTAATTGATTGATAGGTTATCCAGCAGACGATTGTGAAAACAACTCACCTTACGATATATTTACATTCGTTTCCACCGGATGTAAAGCGACACCTCGCGTCAGCTCACTTCCAAAGCACAACGTTGCAATAAGAGTTATTACCCTTTGTACGACCCACGCTAAAAATTGCCGATTTATGGCTTCGCGTGGGATAGAGGGAGAATATTTTCGAATGCGTGAGATTTATGGCTCATGTGGCGTGAGACATGATTATGCGTGAGTAAGGTCGTCTCTGCGTGACGAATGCGTGAGATTTTGTCTCATGCCGTGAGAGTTGGCAACCCTGGAAAGGTCAAATATAAAAACTGGTAATATATCACTTGTACCATACATCTGGTCAAGGTCTCAGTATCACACTGTATGCTTTATGAGTGTGGAACAAATTTACATAACATTGTCATATTTTTAGTCACCCCTTGGGGAACCCCAGCGGGGACTAATAATTTCGGCTACAGTCCCAGATTTTGATATCTGTTGCCTATCACTCTGAAGAGCTTTTGTGTGTTTGCTTCTGTTGGAATATACCAGGGTGCTAATTACAAGCTCTTGGATAACTCAGATATAGATTTCCTTTTCAAACAGGAATAACATACATCCTGAAGTCGATCCAAATTTCACATGGGAATAACATATAACCTAAAGATGTTCCGAGTATGAATCAGGCACCTTTGAGGTTCCCGAAGGGGTAGACTGTTATATTATGGATTGCTGTTGATTGATTTAGATATTTTATGGCTGAACATCGACTACCATAAATATTCACGTATAGTGTGCACCTTTTAAGGAAAAATGAAAGTGTCAATAAAGTGGTGTGCAGATACTCCAGAACAATCCAAAACCAGTCCTTGGTCTTGACCATTTGATTTATCGTGAATTTTTCGGGGATTTTCGGAAATGTTTTGAAATATGCTCGCAGCAATAAACTGTTAAATTTTGTTGCATAACTCCTGATTGCATTGTCTATTTAACCATTATGATAAAATTGCAAGTTCAAGTCGTATTATACAATAGAATCGGATAAATAAACCTCGAGTAAAGTAGGCCCAACTTTCAGGTACGATACCAGGTATGGGGAAACAACGGAGAATTGCATTGTAATAAGCACTCTGGGGTATAAAATGCCGTTCTTGGGTAAAATGCTGAACTATTTAATCTTGACAGTAGAAATGTGTCAAAACGACATGGGGATAGTGGCGAAGTTTGCAAGTTTGTGTATTGTAAACAGTCAAGGTCGCGTGATATTATTTACCGGCAGGAACTCACAAAGTCACATACATGCGAATTGAACCAATAATAATAAAAGTTAGAGTTTGAAAAATAAATATTAACGGCCTCAAAACAGCCATATACATTCCAGTCTTTTCTTTTCAAAGAAGAGTTGCTGAAATCACAATTGTTTTGTGTTTTTTCATGTCTGGTGAATTTGGCTCTTGGCGGTCCTCGTCGGACCTGTTTGAGTGACTGCCTTTAACAAAGCGTTCACACTCTGCCGTAGGCCTATCACTGTCCGATTCAGTCAGATTTGCAGACGATCAGAAAACTACTTTGAATGGTTTATTTTATAAAAAAAAAAAAGTGAAAGATTTATGCGTATATAATAAGATTGAATCTTTTCTGAAAGTTATTGTTTTGAAAATAACATCATTTTATTTCAATTACCTGTTCTGCCCATGCCAGGTGACAACAGATATTTGCCACATGCTTTCTTATTAATTCCATGTGTTGGCATGGTTACTTAAACAGCGTGTATGTATATACATGTGTCATTGTTAGACCATTTTGATTGACAGGTGGAAATATGTACGTTGTAGCTTGGTCTGTGAATTATTGTACTGAAAATTATCTTATACAAATGTAGGAGATGGAGTGACTTTCATGTCATTTTGACATACTTCTAGTTTAAACATATTTTATTTGCAAAAATACAAAAGGGATCAGACACAAGTTATAAAACTTTTAAGTTCGCCTTCTCCCTGTACAATATAACATTGTCATAACTTGAAATGACACAAACCTAAACCATTTCCTTAACTTTACATGTAGATATTCCTTTTGCATTTGACCTAAACCTTTGAAAAAGTTTGTTTGGGGTATATCTTAAACAAATTCCCCTGGACTAACCAGATATAGTATACAAGTATGTTTTGGGGAGTACAAATTCCCCTGGACTAACCAGATATGGTATACAAGTATGCTTTGGGGAGTACAGGAAGTATGTCACTGTGACCTATATACTAAAATAAGTGTACAGCTCAGTCAATAAAGAAATCATTACTGGTGGGGGACTATAGATTGCTTTGCAATACTAATTGTTAGCCTTTGGCTTAAAGTTTTACTTTATATGGGAGCAGGGGGGTATTAGATAGCCTAAAGCCCCTGTCTCACATACACGATTTAAGAAAAGTTAAAAAATTGTGTTGATTCGTACTCGACCTTGTGGTTTATGCAAATTTCTTAACCAAACACGACCATCATACGACCAAAAATGACCCTCATACCACCTTCATACGACTGAACATGACACTCATACGACTGTCATAAGATATTCATACGATATAACACAATTTAACCTCATTTAACACGACCCCAATACGACCAAACACGACTGTCATACAACGCCCATACGACTTAACAGGAATCAAACCGACCGCCATACTATTAAACAAGAATCATTACGATGTCCATACCACTACAAAAATAAACACGACCTCCATACGACTGAGCAAGAACTTCATACGACATATTTTTATTTATTTTGGTCACGTGGGTCATGTAGAATATAAACTGCATTGCAACAGCATTTCTGTGTCAGTCTTCACCATGTTCAACATCGAACAAGACCCGAAAGAAGCAGCTTTGGAGGAGGAGGGAGTACTTCTGGTAGCTATGGCTTTGATGGTGAGGGGTAGGAGGCAGCGTAGGCGTCGCAGAGTGAGGAACAGGAAGAGATTCTTGGTTCGAACATGGTTGTTGAGGAGACCTCTGTATGTTTTTGCGTTAAAAAAAACTCCGCTAATTCCACTTCCTGGCTGTCACTGAAAATATACGAAGTGGTGCGTCATTTGTTCGGTTGGGAAGACTCAGCTTCACTGGGATTGATGGTTGAACTTGATGTTTTTTTTACTTCTTATTTGGTCTTCTTTTCTTGGTTGGTACGGGTCCGGTTAGCTCAGCGGTAGATTCATTGGTAGATTGATGTGAAATGTCTTCAGGTGGAGGTGATGGTGATGGAATGTTGAATGGACTATCCTCCGGCCTGCTCAGACGGCTGCTGAGATGGCTGGATGTCAGTTTCAGTTGTTGTTTTTGTTGTTGTTGTCGATTTTGGTAGTGGTTCAGAGGTTTCAACTGGCTCATCTTGTCCCTGGGTACCGGGTGGATGTTCATCCATGATTGGTGGTGAAGGATGTTTCCCTTTCAAAGGTGTTGCTTGGAGGTCGCATGAGGTTTGGCATGGCTGTATAATGAGCTTTATTTTCAGGGGGTTTCCCAAGTTCTCACTCAATCACATGATGGGCTCTTCCGGACGTATTGCAAACGTATAGCTTTCTTGTTCAGGCATATGGGAGTCATATGAAAGGCATATGAAAGTCTTGTTGAATCGTGTTAAAGCGTATGAAGGTCGTATGAGTTTCCTCCCACGCTCCCCAACACGACTGA